TTAGGGAACCGCAATTCTGCTGAAAGAGGTTTCAGTACTAAAATGTTTTTCCTATTACAGCAAGAATAGACAATTATTACTAGCTATGGTCCATTTTTAAAATATACACATCTGTGCATTCAATATCAGCATGTCTTGAATGGGTAAGTGAGGATGCAAGTTCTGTGCATGAGAGAGTGGGGGGGGGCACTTGTTTTTGCACTGCATTGTAGGCACAGTTTAATACAGCTTCCCTAACCTCCCATTCACCAGAAGGAAGCTTCCAGGAAGTGTGTCCTGGGGGAAGAACAATGACAGGACAAACAGATCCATTTTTGGTTCCACTTGTTCCCCGCACACTGAAGGAAGGAAAAGGGCAGCACACATTCCTTACTTGTTCTCCACACATGGGATCTGGCAGGGAGGCTGCGGGCTTTCTCCCCACACAGGAAGCCAGGAATTCCAATATTACAGGGGGCCATATAGCTGTAGCACCAGCGCTGGCTTCCTGCTGCAGGGGGAGGGCTGAGTTGGGGCTCCAAAAGAGATATATCTGGTTTCTAGTGAGCCACATTTAGCTCTGTGGAAAGGTCCTGGCCCAGGTCCCTTGCCATGGGACTCCTTCTTGGGTCACAAATCAACCAGAGAGCCTTTCTAGTGCAGTCACCCCTGCCTTTTATTGTCAGTGCCAATTTCCCACCACCTTCTATTAATTGAGGGTATGTCTACACTACAGCACTAATTTGAACTAACTTAATTCGAACTAGAACTCCTTGCCACAGGAGGCTGTGAAGGCTAGAACTATAACAGAGTTTAAAGAGAAGTTAGATAACTTCATGGAGGTTGGGGCCATGGAGTGCTATTAGCCAGGGGGTAGGAGTGGTGTCCCTGGCCTCTGTTTATGGAAGGCTGGAGATGGATGGAACAAGACAAATGGCTTGGTCATTGTCTTCAGTCCATCCCCTTCGGGGTATCTGGTGTTGGCCGCTGTCGGCAGACAGGCTACTGGGCTAGATGGACCTTTGGTCTGACCCGGTATGGCCATTCTTATGTTCTTATGTTCTAAGCTCAGGGCTCAGGGTTGGGGAGTCTCACTGGACCAACTTGATTTTCATGTAAACCTGCTCCTGGGTTCACATGTCGCCTTTGGTGGCCAGGCTGGCAGCTATCCACCTTAGACGGCCGCTTTCCTGTGGCTGGTGCAGAGATTGTGGACGTTGGAGGCCTCCCCCCAAACGTCGATGAGATCCATGATCTCCGCACTAGACCAAGCAGGCGCCCGCCTCTTGCGGCCCATGGCAGGCTCCTGGGAACCGCCAGCCTGGTCCTGGGAAGAGGTGGAGGGCTGGGTGGCAGTGGGTGGCTGGCTTGTGCTGTGCCAGGTGCAGGGTCTTCTGGCTGGGTGCTGGCAGGCTTGCAACTGGTACAAGCACTGTAGCCAGACCGTGCCCCTTTAAGCGCTCCGCGGCCGGGGGGGCAGAAGAGTTTCCCTGGTTTGGCCCAGAGTGGCTACCAGGGCAACCTGGTAAGGGCTAGCCTCCAACTAGTTCAAATTAAGTGGCTACACAGCCCTTAATTCGAACTACTTAGTTTGAACTAGGTGTTACTCCTCGTAGAAAGAGGTTTACCTAGTTTGAATTAAGCGCTCCGCTAGTTCGATTTAAATTCGAACTAGCAGTTTGTATGTGTATCCCCTATTAAAGTTAATTCAAACTAATGGCTGTTAGTTCAAATTAACTTTGTAGTGTAGACATACCTAGAGCTTTTGTTCACAGCAAACTCAGCCAGCTGCTCCTTCTGGCTTAGGGACGCACACAGTTACATCCTGGCTCCTCACTCCTCCCCTTTCACTGCTGATTTGGCTGCCTTCTATAGCCCTCTGGCTAATAAGGCCCACAGCTGCTTCCATTAGCCCTTCAGGCATGGGCTTGCTCAGCTGGCTTCCATTTGGCCTTTTCAGCCAGGCTGTAGTGACAGAGCTCTCACTTAGACAGCAGTCTGTGTCAGCTCACAAACTACAGGTTGCTGACCCTTGATCTAGAGCTATGAGAGCTGGAATTAGGAGTGCAAGGGGTGTAACATGCCCTCGCTTGAAGTGATTTCCACTATATACAGGACTTACAGTTTGGTTCAATGGTTCTCAGCACCTCCACTATACAAATTTGTTCCAGCACCTTTGTCTAGACCATCCCTGACAGGTATTGTCTAACCTACTCTTAAAAATCTCTGTGACGAGGCTGCGGAGACCGCTGGCACCGCCGCCAGCCCCACCCCCATCCCCAAGCCCCGCATTACCCCAAGCCCCACAGCCGCTTTAAGTGGGGGTGAGGAGGCTGCAGAGACCACTGCCACCACTGCCGCCACCGCGACCCTCGAGCCCTGCACCACAATAAGCCCCGTGGTGGCTTTGGGCGGGGAGGCCATAGCTGCGCGGCGGACGTGCGCCACCTGCTCCGGGGCTGCCCCGCAGAGCCAGGCCGGGATGACGGATAACGTCAGGGGAGGCTCTGGGAGCGACCGAGCATCAGAGGGAGGCGTGGGATATAAGGAAGGCCCAGAGAGGACAGAGGGGGAAGGAAGAGGAAGAGCGCATGGAGAGACGGAGAGGAGCGTGAAAGGAAGAGGAGGAGTGCAAGGAGGAGGCAGGGTGCCACGAACAGGAGCAAGGGTCACAGAAGGCAACGTGAAGGCGCTGGGGAGCCGGATCTGAAGGAAGGACCGGACGGAGGAGAGGAAGCAACCCAGGACTGAGCAGGGGAACCCAAAGGTCACTCAAGGGTTGGTGAGTTAAGGCTGCAGCCCCACCAACCGGGCAGGGAATCTTCTCCCTGCCTTTAGGGTCCTAGGTTGGGACCTGGAGAGGGGGAGGGCCCAGGTTTCCGCCCCTCCTTCCCCGTCAGATAACCCCACAGACACGACATGGGAATAGCAAACACCTGGTAAGCCTGGACGTTGGGAACACGATAGACCAAGGACAGAGGGGGAAAAAAGGGACCTTATAAACTGGGGCGGTGAAGGGAGGGGCACGCAGTGGGTGAGGGGAGACCGGCATAGTCACCTTACCCTGATGATGATATGGCCGGAGGCCTGAGGGGAAGATTGATGAAGATTCCACCAAATCCCTAGGCAGTTTATTTCAGTGCTTAACTACCCTGAAAAGAATTTTTTCCCCCAATATCTAACCTAAACCACCCTAAGCCCTTTGCTTCTTGTCCAAATCTCAGAGGTTAAGGAGAGCCTAGATTATTTTCTTTGTTATCTTTCCAGGTACTGAAGTTAAGCTGACTGGTGTGTAATTCCCCCAGTTTTCCTTATTTCGCTTTTTATAAATTGGCATCTATTTGGCCTTTTCCAATCCCATGGGATCTGTTTTCCATGACTTTTAAAAGAGAATTGCACAATAAAACATAAGATAGTGGTATCAAAGAAACTGAGCAAAACAAAAAGGATTCAAAAGATTTCTCAATTCCTTTTGGTAAAGGGACAGTGAAGAAGCTCAAATATCAGATTAAGAGCAACAAAAAAATGCCAGAAATCATAGTCTGAATGGGCTTTTACTGTTCCTATAATCTAAATTCTTAGGCATACTCTGTACATTCAGAACAGTTCAGAAAAATCAACATAAGAAAATTTTGCTCACACGTGCTAGTTAATATGAAGATGCAGTTGTTACTTACTACTCAACAGGTTTTTTTTAAAACAGCCTCTGTTCTCAGTTAAGCATATTCCTTGTTAAATAAGATACAGATGAAATAAAATACTTTTTAGCAATTTCCTGGTATATTTAATCTTCATATCTTCTTACTTTCCTAACACATTTTAGTCTTTTTTTCTTTCTCCATCTCCACACCGATTCAAGACCAGCTGTACTCTGCCTTAGCAGGAGTGATTATACTGCATAAGCTCAAGTCTTAGAATAATTGTAGGGAGCAAATTATGTTTTCAAGAAATATTCAAGCCTAAACCAATGAGCATATTGCACTTTAGCGAGATATTTTAAATACGAAGAAACTGAGGGTGTGTCTAGACTACATGCCTCCTTCGACGGAGGCATGTAGATTAGCCAGATCGGAAAAGGGAAATGAAGCCGCGATTAAAATAATCGCGGCTTCATTTAAATTTAAATGGCTGGGGCCCGCCCC